CTACATTATGTTGAGAAAAATTGTCATGTCACAGTTACGAATAGCTTTCCAAAGGATGTTTTAAGTACCCAACAGTTGCCTGCCATTTACTCAGGTTGTGTTCTTCCCTCTTTTCGTAGGTGCCGATGAACTTCCATTATTCCATGGAATCCCCAATATTTCTATGACGCTTTATATTTTTCAATCCAAATCAATGTAAGAATTTGGATCATAATAATCAAAAAAGGCCATTCACTCGAAAACTAAATATAATCATAATGATCAAATTTTAAATGGTAGGAATTTTTTTTTCAATTCATTTATTTATAAAAAATAGTAGAATAGACGTGTGATAAATATTATTTATTAAAAGACAAATACATGATGAATGTGGATGTCACATTTTCTTTTTCACCATCCCTACATGCTAGAGAGAGGAATGACAAATATAGGTATTGCAAATTTTTTCCTCCATCCCTAAATTTTTAGCAACAAATATTAATTGTTGCCAACAGTAGATAATATTGCATCACAAACAATTTGTCGCAAGATATGAAAGTTTATTGCCATAAATTTCCCACCAAACAATATATTGGCTCCATGCTTCCCATTATGTATTTTCCAACAATCTTTGTTTCTTATTGCGTTTTTTGATATTTCACAATTTTTTATGTAGGCTTATATTTTTTTTGGGTACTTTTTTGTCCAGTATTTGCGATAAACTTTAAAAACGTGTCGTGCTAAATTACTTATTTCGATAGCTTTTTATGTTGCAAAATATACTGGTTTGACATGTTTGATTAATTGTACATATGATCGACAATTTAATGTATATGACTCACAAAAAGTATAATGGAGGAGGAATGTGGGTGTTGAAAGGGTAAAAGTCATGTTTTCTCAATCTAGAGCTAGAAGGAGAATGAGCATCGACATCAGAAAAGATATGGATCAAATTCTTAAAAATGAGGAGGATTATCTTAAAAAGAATTCGATAGGGGGTCGCCAAAATTTATAATAGCTTTGTTGCTTTCTTATTTTTTATTTTATATCCAACTCGAATGGGCAATGAGGATTTTTGCAAGAATTCATTTTTTTTCTTTTTTATTTTAATTATTTAAATTTTTTCGTCATAGATTTAACATTTTTTGGTAATTTCTTAAGTTTTATTTATTTCCAATTCCTTGAGTTATATAACGACGATTACGTTGATTTTAATTATTTAAATTTTTTCGTCATAGATTTAACATTTTTTGGCAATTTCTTAAGTTTTATTTATTTGCAATTCCTTAAGTTATATAATGACAATTACATCTTTTGAAAGTTTAAGTTATACTTTGTATACTTGCTATATAAACTTGCAATACAGCTTTACCATTTTCTATATGACTTTTGAATGAAAATATGAGATTTTCATAGATGCTGCCAAACTTTCATTGTTATACGGAATCATCAACATTTCTTTGATGCTTTCAATTTTTTTATCCAATCAGTGTTCATATATAGGAATCGATGATTTGTTGATCACATGCTTTATTGTGTTTTCTTACATGTTGCTTTATCAATGGCTTATGTGACTATTTTACCGATCCCAGTTTCAGATAACCAAAAACTCTCATGAAATCATGTGCATTTGAGGGTTTGCAACCAATGGTTCTTAGTACCCTTAGATTATCATAAGAGCCTGAGATAATGTTTCAGCATATCAATAAAGTATCCTTAAATTTACAAGTATTTATACAATTCTCTTTATGTAGCTGTTGATCACCGATATGTTACGAAGGTATTTCATGACCTTTCATTTTTATTTTGATACAGTATCTCATGAATTTATACTATAACTCATATTTATTATTGAAGTCTTGTGCACAACATAAATGATGTATGAACAATTGCATTAAATTATTGTTGCTCGATATTGATCACCTCTGCAATGACTAACCCAGTTTATTAAATTAATATTGCTCATTTCAAAACAGATTCATCAAATGCACATCTAATGCACAGGTTAAGGTAATGTTTGAAGGTATGAAATTATTTTTTATTTATTTATTTTCATTTCATTACATTGTAGATGTTTGAAGGTATATGTATTATTGATGTCGGTGCATTAAGTTAATACAAAGGACACCTTTTTTTGTTCAATATTTTCCTAATTTTAAATTATTTTAAATATAATGTATTGCCTACAAAAATTATACTTTTTTGCTTCCTATTTTAGCATTCTCAATACACTGAATTTTTCGTGGCTAACTTGGAATATTCAAAATCTCATATTGACTAATTTTTACTTTCACTTGTACAAGACAGTTGCCACTTCCCAAGAAAGCCAAGAAAATGTTTATCAAGATTTTATCTCATGTTGTATGAAAATTAAATGTTTTGGAAAGCTCAGAGGGTCATAAGCAATTGCTATTAAATCAATAAACCAATCTTTTATCTATAAAAAATACCGTAAAGGTAGGATCACACGATATTAAATTCAAGAAACAAGAAAACCTTAATCGAACAGAAAAAGTTGCAGAAAATAAATAAAAGAACTCAAAGGAATTATTTCAGCCTAAGCCCTGGATGTGCCTACATCCCCCGTTGAGCATCCACAAATTTGGATTATGCTCGGTTGCACTAAACAGTCCAAAATGGCAACAAATTTACAGATTGTTTAAAGAGATGAAAATGAGACTTATCTCTCAAGTATAGTAATGGATCTATAGAGATTCACTTAGGGTGTGTTTGATTACATTTATTTTCCATGAAAAATATAAGTTTTCCATTTAAATTCCTACTTGAGGTGTTTGACTGCTAATTTTTTCCATAAAAAGTATTTTCCAACTTTTGAAAATATGCCTAATTTTCCTTGTTTTTAAGGAAAACATTTTCCTTGGGTGGAGGTGATTTTTATTTTCCACAAAAGAAGGAAAATATTTTCTTTTTTAGGTGATATTTTCCATGTCAATCAAATACACTCTTAGATCTGAGCCCACAAAACCTTCGAACACCACCAAAATGATACAACAAAGAAATCACTCATATTTCTTCACTATTCAAACAGAATGCAACAATCGAAGGAAGATCTCACTATACTGTACGTAAAATCAAAGATTTTACACATGAAACACTAAAAGAAAATCAATATCTCTCAGATAGCAAATATTTTCCCTCTGAAAACCCTAGAGACGAAAGCAAGATGAAGGGTTGTAATGTGACGTTCCAAAAGGCTCCACCATTTAAGGAAGGGCATATGAACCGGCTTAATCCAACGTCCAGAGATAGTCCACGTGTTAGCCATCCAATAAATTGTCATCACTTATTAAGTCGTGTTTCATAAAAACGGTTTTGTTACGAATTAAATTCTGGAAGCATTAATTGAGGATAACGGGGTTCGACTCCAACAATCTCCACCTTGCTGCTAGAATCTGAGCTATTAGTGCAGCCGGGAGTATGATCTTATGTCTTTTTCATTTGCTCCAAGTACCTGTATATGAATCACAAAGAATCAACAATAAAAGTTTCAAGCATTTTAAGAATTTGTTTAAAGGAATTACTTTTGTATCCATATTAGATGGATTAAACTGAGTAGAAACTTTTTCGATCTTAGTTTCACCTTTTGAGATTATATCTCTTATAAAATGGTATTTAACATCAATATGTTTTGACCTATCATGAAACATGGGATTTTTCCTTAGGTGAATAGCACTTTGGTTATCAGAAAACAGCACAATGTGGTTATCATTGAAACCCATTTCAGACAATAAACCATTCAACCATATTCCTTCTTTAACAGCATCATTGCAGCTATATATTTTGCCTCAATTGAAGACAAAGCAACAACTTTCTGAAGTTGAGATTTCCAATTGATAGTAGTACTACACAGTGTATAAAAATAAGATGAGGTTGATTTTCTATTATCTCTATTACCAGCAAAATCAGAATCAGTATACCCTTTCAAACTTATTCCATTTTTATCTGATTTAAACATTAAGCCTAAATTTAATGATCCCTTAAGATGTCTCAATAACCATTTTAAGGCATGCCAATGTTCTTCATCATGGTTACTTATAAATCTACTTAAAATGCTAATACTATATGCAAGATCAAGTCTGGTGCATATCATCAAATACATCACAGAACCAATTACATTAGCATATGGAATTTTTGACATTCTAGCATATTCATCTTCAGATTTAGGACAAAATTCAAAAGACAATCTAAAATGACTAGCAAGAGGCAGTGTTACAGGCTTACAATTATACATGTTGAATTTTTTCAAGATTTTAGACACATAATCACATTGATTTAAAAACAACATAACTTTATCCTTGTTTCTCCAGATCTGCATGCCCAATATTCTTTTAGTAGCACCAAGGTCTTTCATATCAAACTCGGAACTTAACTTTGATTTAATATCATCAATTTTTATTTATCTGAACTAGTCAACAACATATCATCCACATAGAGGACCAGATATAATGAGTTTTTAACTCCACTACCTTTGCAGTACAAGCACGTATCATATTGGCTTATTCTAAATCCATGTTTCAAGACAAAAGTGTCAAATCTTTTGTACCACTGCTTAGGTGCCCGCTTTAGGCCATACAAGGATTTCTTTAACAAACAAACAATGTTTTCAGGACCACCTTCCTCAAAACCAATTGGATGTCTCATGTATATTATTTCATCTAATTTCCCATACAAGAAAGCAATTTTAACATCTAGTTGATCAAATTTCCATTTAAATTGTGTAACAAGTGCTAGCAGACATCTGATAGAAACAAACTTGGCAACAGGAGAAAAAATTTCAATATAGTCTACACATTCTTTTTGTGTGAAACCTTTTGCTACAAGTCTAGCTTTATATCTAACATTTTTATCATCACCTTTTCTAGATTTTATCTTATAAATTCACTTGCAATCAATTAATTTTTGTCCTTTGGGCTTATCAACTAATATCCATGTCTTATTCTTAAGGAGTGAAGACATTTCATCTTCCATGGCCATCTTCCAATTTTTCCTTTCTTTACATTTCATGGCTTCTTCAAAGAGTTTGGGTCATTTTCAGTAAGGTCTTGGTAAATAAATAAGGATACAAAGGTGTTACTATCAAATCTAGTGGAGGGTCTGATTTGCCTCCTCTCCCTATCTCTTGTGAGTTGATACTCATCTAAGGGGAGAGCTGCAGAATCAACCTCTTCAACATGTTCAGTTTCAGGTAAAATAATAGCTTCTTCATTTTCATTTTCTTCTGCAATAGTTACAGACATATTCTGGTTACTACAGGAGGGCTCCACCTCAATTTGAACATCTTTATCAGTCAAAGCATTTTCTTTTCCTTCAAGACATGGCATCAATGATTCATTGAAGACTACATCCTTTCTAATTATTACTCTATAACCTTTTTCAAGTTTAACCCATAATCTATACCCTTTAACATGTTCATGATAACCCAAGAAAACACACTTTCATGATGTTAGTTCTAATTTACCAACATTTTGATGAGTATAAGCAGCACAGCCAAATATTTTCAGACAAGAGTAATTTACAGGACTATTTGATGACACATATTCAGGAACAGCAAAATTTAGAGCACTAATAGGACTCCTATTAATTAGATAAGCTGTAGTTTTAACTGCTTCACCCCAAAATATTTTTGGCAGTTTAGAACTTAATAGCATGCATCAAACTTTATTCAACACAGATCTATTCATTCTTTCAGCCATTCCATTTTGTTGTGGTGTGTGTGGAACAATTTTGTGTCTCATGATGCCATATTCCTTACAAAGATTATCAAATTCACAATTGCAAAATTTCAAGCTATTATCAGTTCTTAAATATTTTATTTTAAGATCAACCTGATTTTCAACTTGAGTTTTCCGATCCTTAGTAGATGAACCCAAATTTTTCTTAAGAAATCATAAAATATTAGCAAAAAATATTTAAAACCAGTTAAAGTAGAAATAGAAGCAGGACCCCACAGGTCAGCATGCAAGTACTCAAGTCTTTGTTTAGATTTATGAATTCCACTTTGAAAAGGAAGTTTAGCTCGCTTTCCCAAAATACAGTGTTCACAGGAGCCAAAATCACCAAGATTATGTTTTCTAAAAACATCTTTTGATTGCAAAATATCCAAACCCTTTTTACCAATATAACCAAGCCTTTCATGCCACAGTTTAGCCAAGGTAAACTTTTCAGATAGAACAGAAGCAGTTAATCCAAGCAAAGGTTTTGCATTCAGACAATAAAGGCCATGTCTCTTAGGGGCTAAAGTGACCAAGTCATTTCCCCTAAGAATTTTTATATGTCCTTAACCCATAATTATGTTAAACTCCTTGTCATCTAACATTCCTAAGGACACTAAGTTCCTTTTCAAATTTGGGACATGTGTTCTCTAGGAACAAAACATTACCATTTTCTAATAATAATTTGACGGTTCCAATTCCACTCACTTTACATGCAAAGTTGTTGCCCATTATAACATGCCCCCCTTTAGTTCTTTCTAAATTTATAAAACAATTTTTGTTGGGGTACATATGAAAAGAGCATCCCGAGTCAAGTATCCATTCATCACTTAAGCATTTTTCACCACTTACTAGCACAAAATCATTTTCTGTTTAGGTTTTAACATAGGCCACTGCATTGCTTCCATCAAAACCTTTTTCTTTTGAATCATTTTTCTTTTTAAAACAATCTTTTGCAAAATGACCAAATTTGCCACAATAATAACATTTTTTACTTTTTGCATTATTCTCGGTCTTACTTTTGTCAACCCACCTCCTATTTGTTTTTGAAAACTTAAAATTTTGTGTAGGTTTTTCAAAAGATTTTCCTTTAGTTAAAAAACTAGTTCCAGTATGACTGTTACTTGACTCAACCTTGATTTCCAAAGCTTTATTCCTCAAAGCATTGGTTATAACATCAAGAGTGAGTTCATCCCTACCATATTCAAGGGCAACTTTAATGTCCTTATACTTGTCACTAATGGAGTTTAACAGGACTATAGCCAATTGATCTTTTGAAAGTTTTTCGTCAAAAATGGCCAAGTCTTGGGTAAGTTTTGTGAACCTACTAAGATTTTCTTCTAAATCAACTACATGATCTATTTTAAAGGAGAAGAATAGTTTTAAAATAAAACATTTGTTTGGAGTAGTTTTGGTCTCATACTTAGCCTTAAGTTTGGCCCAAAGATCAGAGGCGGTAGTAGTTTCACCTACCTCTCTGATCACATTATTAGACAAATACAGAAATATAGTACTCCAAGCAATTTTCTCAAGTTCAGATTTTTTATTAGGAGCTAAGCCCTCAAGCCATAAATCATCTAAAGACTTGGTGCATTTCATTTGCATCAAAATTGCTCTCATTTTTTGACTCCACATATCAAAATCAATTTTACCATCAAATTGAATAACTTCAAATTTAGCAGTAGCCATAGTGCACACAAATTTTCATGCAAAGATCAGTTAGGACTTGCAACAGTTTAAACAGGAAGTCAACAAATACCAATTTGTATCAAATTTGAAGCACAGTAGAACACACAGTAATACAAAGTTTCACAATTCTTGCAATATTAGAAGAGAATAGGCAAGATCAATTAACAGACAACAATCACAAAGATTGAATACAAGGTTTCACAGTTCTCTCTAGCAAGATTCTCCAAGTGCACACCCGTACTTGATTTATCTCAGATTCCAGGGGCCTCTTAGGAGCTACTGGACAAAGATTAGTCTCAAGGGGTGTCAACGGTGCATCGAAAAATCAAGGGAAAATTTAGGAAACTCAAGTTACTGAAAGTTAATGTACAGAAAATGAAAAAGATCTCACCGATAGTTAAATAACTCGTATTGTTCTCAATCTGCCTTTTCAGCAGTTCCAAAGATTCAAGACCGTTGCAGGTCCACCAGTTTCTCTAAGATCCAGGTATCTTCTTCCTTTGGACGTGGCTCTGATACCACTGTAAAGGCAGGATCACACGATATTAAATTCAAGAAACAAGAAAACCTTAATCAAACAGAAAAAGTTGCAGAAAATTAAAAGAATACAAAGGAATTATTTCGGCCTAAGCTCTGGAGGTTCGTCGACGACTTCTAACGCCTACTCCCCCCGTTGAGCATCCAAAGATTTGGATTATGCTCGGTTGCACTAAATAGCCCAAAATGGCAACAAATTAACAGATTGTTCAGAGAGATGAAAATGAGACTTATCTCTCAAGTATAGTAATGGACCTACAGAGATTCACTCAGATCTCAACCCACAAAACCAACGAACACCGCCAAAATGATACAATAGAGAAATCACTCAGATTTCTTCACTATTTACACAGAATACAACAATCGAAGGAAGATCTCACTATACTATACGTAAAATCAGAGATTTTACACATGAAACACTCAAAGAAAATCAATATCTCTCAGATCGCCAATATTTTCTCTCTGAAAACCCTAGAGATGAAAGCAAGATGAAGGGTTGTAATGTGACGTTCCAGAAGGCTCCCCCATTTAACAAAGGGCCGATGAACCGGCTTAATCCAATATCCAGAGATAGTCCACGTGTTGGCCATCCAATAAATTGTCATCACTTATTAAGTCGTGCTTCATAAAAGCACAGTTTTGTCACAAATCAAATTCTGGAAGCATCAATTGAGGAGAACAGGGTTCGACTCCAAGAAATATCATCTTCAGGAAATAAAAATAATGTATACAACACCATTTCAACCTCCAAAAATCATCCCTAAACATGACTAGAGGGAAAATAAAGCTCAAGTATATTGTCAATGGTGCAAAGAGAAGGGCATCATTTAAAAAGAGAAAGAAGGGAATAATGAACAAGATGAACGAACTTTGCACCCTATGTGATATACAGGGTTGCATTATCATCTATAGTGCCTATGAACCTCAGCCAACAGTTTGGCCATCTCCATTTGATGCTCAGCAAATTATTTCCAGATTTCGGGAACTTCCAGAACTGGAACAGACCCAAAGATTGTACAATCAGGAATCCTATATGATTCAAAGGGTTCAGAAGTCTTATAAACAAGCCGAAAAGCTTCAAAGGATTAACAGATTAACAGACATGGAAATTTTGATGCACCAGTGCGTGGCTTGTTTGTCAAGCCTGCAAAATGTCCCTCTAAATGACATAACTGAAATGGGACGTTTGGCGGAGCAAAATATTCAGGACATCATGGCCCGAATGGAGGAACTAGAAAAGAACCAAGCTGCAACATTACAAATGGGTGGGACTAGCTCCAATCCGCCTAGGGATGATGCCGCCGGACCCAGCTTTAGGAATTAAGTCTCTGTCATAAATCATAACCTTTTACTTTCATCTGTGATTGTTTTTGGATTAATTACAGTGCTTTGTTTTTTTATTCTTCCTGTGATTTTGTTTGGCCATCGCGTCTGTTATTACAAAAAATTAAATACATGAAATTCTTGAATGATGCTAAGTTCTAAATTTAGAACACTTCAGTACAAATTAATTACAAGTTCGATTATTGTTTCTTAACCTACAAATAGTTCTTAGTAACCTTCGATGACCATAAAAGCTTGAGATGCGTATCGACCTGATTCTCTACAGTGTTCCAGCATGTCAATAGAGCATCAACAAATTTAAAATTATTTATACAATTCTGTTATAATAATATTTGTAGAGGGTGATCACTAAAATATTACCATGGTTTTTCATGAACTTTTACTTTTATTTTCACAGTGTCTCATGAATTTATACTACAACTCATATTTACGGTTGAAGTTTTGAGCACAACATAAATGATGTACGAATCATTGCATTAAATTATTGTAGCTTGATGTTGATCACATCTATAGCAGTTGAACCAGTTAGTTAAAATAATATTGCTCAGTTTATCGGAGCATGTTCCAGTTAGTTAAAATTATATTTCTCAGTTTTTCGAAGCATGTTCATCAAATGCACATCTAATGCACAGGTGAACGTATGTTGAAAACTAGGAATTTAGATCTCTTAAGCATGCAGGTGATGAAATTATTTATTATTTTAATTTCATTACATTACGTTGCAAATGTTTGAATGTATACTTAATATTGATGCCAGTGCATTTAGTACCGAGGACACCTTTTCTTCTGTTACTCTTCAAATTTTCTTGTGTAAATACTTCGCCAATTTTTGAATCATTTTGGATTAATGTATTTCCTACAAATGTTATACTTCTTTGCTGTCTTATTCGGCTATCTCTATGCACTTAATATTAGTGGATTATTTTCCTTTTTTCTTAGCTTAATTGGAATATTGATAACCCAAGAAATAATATTTCTCAGGTTTTCTAAGCATGTTCATCAAATGCACATCTAATGCACAGGTGAACGTATGTTAAAAACTAGGAATTTAGATTTTTTAAGCATGCAGGTGATGAAATTATTTATTATTTTCATTTCATTACATTACATTGCAAATGTTTGAATGTATACTTAATATTGATGTCAGTGCATTTAGTACCAAGGAAACCTTTTCTTGTGTTACTCTTCAAATTTTCTGGTGTAAATATTTCCCCAATTTTTGAATCATTTTGGATTACTGTATTTCCTACAAATGTTATACTTCTTTGCTTCTTATTTGGCTATCTCTATGCACTTAATATTAGTGGATTATTTTCCTTTTTTTCTTAGCTTAATTGGAATATTGATAACCCCAGATTGACGAAATTTTTATTTCACTTGTACAAGGCAGTTGCCACTTTCCAAAAAAGCCAAGAAATGTTATCCGTGTAATTCTATTTCTTATTGTACGAAAACAAAATGCTAGAATTTAAAGATGTAAAATAAACAATTGCTATTCAATCAATAATCCGATATATATATATATATATATATATATATATATATATTTTTTTTTTTTTTCTATAAATACCACCTTCTGGCAATAAAAATAATGTACAACACCATTTACCTCGAAAAAATCGTCCCTAAACATGACTAGAGGATTCATTTAAAAAGAGAGAAAAGGGAATAGTGAAAAAGGTGAACGAACTTGCACCCTGCGTGATATACAAGCTTGCATTATAATTTATAGTGCCTATGAACCTCAGCCAATAGTTTGGCCATCTACATTTGATGCTCAGCATATTATTTTCAAATTTCAGGAACTTACGGGAATGGAATAGACCCAGAGACTGTTCAACCAGGAATCCTATGTGATTCTAAGGATTCAAAAGTCTCATAAACAAGCCATAAAGCTTCAGAGGATTAACAGAATAATATGCATGGCTGGTTTGTTGATCCTGTAAAATGTCCCTCCAAATAATATAACTGAAATGCGACATTTGGCGGAGCAAAAAATGCATGGCTTTTGGGTTAGACAAGATACAATTTCTTTTTCTGATACGAACACTTATGGGAACCAACTTTTGATGCTTTCTTAACTAATTTGCCACTATATACACAACACGGTCTAACAAGCAAAAGATCTCTCTCTCACCTCTCTATCACTTCAACAATAAAATCTTTCAAGAATGAGTGGTCAATTCATCATAAGTTGGAGAAGATAAACCAAATCTAGCAAAGATTGAATCTAGAAATATCAAGAACTAGAAAAATCAAATATTGAATTGAAGATCACGAACTAGAAATAGATATAATTTAGATATAAACATAAATCTCTTTTATTAAATTTACATTTGAATTTGACAACGAATTAATACAATTCAATTTAAGATTTTTTCCTTGTGGGACAATACTCATTATATTATTACTTATCAACGATCTCGTACACTCGTGAGTCTCGCATGAACACCACATCCAATGCTGAACTTCCACCATTGCAAATGACTACCATCAAAATACACTATAAACACTGCTGCTATATTTGGATCTGAAGATTCACACCATCGCTACCCTCTACCACTATGACCCATCGCCCTGCAAGATATGGATCTGGTATTTGGGATTTTAATGATAGTTCATTTGTGGAACTGAGGTTTTGAGTTGTCAGTGGATTCTCGTTCTGCATTGGAAAGTAGTATCATGGTGTGATATGGAGGAGAACAGTAAGAGTCTCTGTTGTAGAATAAAGGCCCTGGGGAGGAAATGCAAGGGAAGAGGAAGAACACCGTTGGATTTACTTCTCTTTGAAATATGGTTCTTCAAAGATGGCAGCTTATAGGTCACGTTAGGTATGTATGGTGTAAGGTAGATTTAAGTAATATAAAAATTTGAAGTGAAGAGATTGTTAAAAAAGAGAGTCTGAAATAGCAATCAAAATCAGAAATTACTCTAAGAGGAATTAAATCAAATAAATGAAAGGCACAAAGATTTAGGAAGTTTTTGTACTACGTTTTATTCAGCTGAGAACATCTCAAATACACACAGGA